CTTCTTCCTAATCAGAGCCCAGGGCAGCTGAAAGCAAAACCACACCAATGTACAGAAGCACAAAACAGCAATTAAGGCTACAGCAAATCTGCAACAACTTTTAAAGCAGGAGCAGCAAACGGTACATTCTCTCGCCAGCAGTGTGCAATTAACCGCCGAATGCCTGGGGAAATAAAAAATGCTTTAAGTGCAGCGGAATTGTGTGCGGCAGAGAAAGGTAGAGCTGGCGAGAGCTCCTTTTCACATGGCTTCCTTCTGATTTTTTTGCAAGCCGCTTGCAGATTAGCACAATCTTACATTGGCCTTGGGGAAACTGCAGAGTTTCTTGAGGGGGCTGAGGAAGCATAAGGTGCATGTAGTGCTTGCGTCACTGTAAAATGTTCATGCTGCCATCTTCAACCAACTTGGACCTTCCTGAAGTTTTGGACTGCACTTCCCATCACCTTTGACCTTTGGTCATGCTAACTTGGCCTGACGGATTTGTAGCCTAAAACAGGTGGAGGGCAGCAGGTTCACAAAGTCCAGGTTACACTGATGCACCAGCCATGGAGGAGTAGGAATCAGCTGCCATCTGAAGGCATTTATTACCATAGCAGTATCAATCACACTGTTCAGCACAGTTGCATCTCTGCCTCTGGATTCAGAGCTAAGGATTCTCTTTGCAGTCCCGCAGAGAGGCCTGATGGAGCCACGGTTGCCAATTGCCTCTCTTCCCCACAACACCACCAGTTTGGTGCTCTCTGCTTCATATATTCACGAGCACTTGCTATATTCTCCCAGTGATTCATACAAGTCAACAATGGGAAACATGAGCTTTTGAAGAGCGTTGGAATCCTTAAGGCAAAAGAGGAATGAGAGTGGGCGGAGTGAGGTTGCAAAATAGCACACGAGGCACTCTTGTCTGTGGAGGCTACAAAGCCAACATATTTTACTGAACCCAGAAAAAAGTGGTAAAAAATTTTTTTCCCTTTAAAAATACAAAATATGTGGTTCCTTTTTGCAAGCATTCCAGTTGTGCAAAACACTTGGGAAATGCTATAACATGATATAAACATTTCCCTTTGAGTCCCCTGAGGTGAGAGTAGATGTGACATGGATGACAAAAAGTGAACAAGTGGCATTGGGAAGAGATTTGACCTCTCATCCCACTTGTGCTATGTCTCCGAATGGCTTGCAGGCCAGTCTGGTTGCTGAACACTGCTGTGATCAAAGTGAAACTACGAGGCTATATTTGCCTCTAAATTGTGTGGAAATAGGAGCACACTGTGTTTACTAATGTTGCTTTTGCTAGCCTGGAAGATGACAAAAACAAAGGCTGCAGGCTTATCCCCAGGCAACTGTATGTTATATCCATGATGGTGGAGTAACCACCTTGGCCACAGGCCAGAGCTCCTCAGGATTTCAGCACACCCCACCCATGGTCCTCCTCTTCAGGAGCTGCTTCTTTTGTTGCCCCACATCCACATCCTGCCTATGAACATTTTGCAAACTTGTAGTGGAGATCTCTCTTACTGCGCACCAGCACTTCCACTGGTGCAACCAAGCTGCTGTATAGGCAGTGGGTTCTGCTTCTATTTCTGAATCTTGTTACCTGGTGAAAACGGGGCGATGATAGCCTAGTAGATGTGGTGGTGATGCAGAGGAGTTGCTGTTAAGGTAAGTGGTCATCCTTTGAGCAAAGCCTGCTCATAGTTTATTTACTGAACAAGATTTAAACACCGTTTGATCGTAATAAAATCTCTCTGCAAGGAATTTTATAGATATAGATATATCTTGATGCAAATAGTTTTTAAAAACCAAGTAATTAAAAACATTACAAAGATAATTAAAAAGAACAGCAAAAGATTAAATCACATAAACATCTCTGTGTCTGGATAAGCTTGCCTGAACAGAAACATTTTATGGCGAAAAGAGTATAGTGAAAGTGTCCGTCTGATGTCAATAGTCAATTGCTGTCACACTCAAAGATTTCTTAAAACTCTGGGACAGATACTATGCAGCATGTGGCCTTGCTGAACATCGAAGCACTTGATTGGGCACATAGGTTGAGTAAGGAGATATCTCACAGATAAACTGGTCTCAAGATGTTGAGGGCTCTTATAGCAACACCTTGAACTTAGTCCAGTAACAAATTGGCAACCGGTATAGATCTCTGCGCTGAGGAGTTACATGCTGGCAGGGTCTCACTCTTGCCAGCAACTGTGCTGCAGCATTCTGCACTGACTGTAGTTTCTGGATCTAGTGCAAGGGAAGCCTCACACATTGCAGTAATCCAGTCAGTCACCAGTGCCTGAATTCCTGTTGTCAAGCTCTCTAGTTCATGCTGTATTCTGCCAGGCTGTGTAGCTGCTCCCTCAGGGGGAGTGCAACCCCATCCAGGACAGTTAGTTGACTATTTTTTGGACCACTCTCACACACTGCCTCTGTCTTGCCAGGATTCAAGCTCAGCTTATTGCCCTCCTGCATCCCACCACCACGTCCCGGTCCCAGTCCAACTCCCGCACAGCCATTCCCAATTCAAATGTTATGGAGAAACGGAGCTGAGCATCACCAGCATACTGATGACATCTTGCTCTCAAACTCCTAGCAGCTTCACATAGATAAAGTAGTGCCCTGGGGCAGAGCACAATTGCCATGGGGGCAAAAAGCACTCTTCCAGTGCTGCTCTCAGGACTTGGTCCTGTAGGTAGGATCAGATCCACTGTAGCAGAATGCACCAAATTTCCATTCCTTGAAGCCTGTCCTGGAATGCCATGAGCAATGGTATTGAAACCCATAGATCAGGAAGAAGGAGCAAGGTTGCAACCCCCCGACCCACTCTCTGAAAAGGTCATCCATCTGGGTAGCCAAGAACAGGCCTGAACCCAGAGTAGAATGGATCTAAATAACCTTCGACATCCAAAAATGCTTGCAGATGCCCCAGCGCAATGCTCTCCGTCACTGATTCCCCTAAAAGTTATTCCAGTCCAAGGAGTCTGGGGCTGGTTTCTTTAGGAGTGGTACTATTGTCTCTTTCAAGGCAGCAGGGACCGCATCCTCACACAACGAAGTGTTAACCACGCTCTGGACCTCAGCCAGGTGAACCCTCTCTGCTAGATTTCATAAGCTTGAGAGGGACAGGGAGTCAAGAGCTTGCATTGTCAGGGGCATAGCCACCAACAACTTTATCTACACCAGCTGACTGCAGAAGCCGAAACGTGTCCTGCAGCACATCAGCGACTATTGCATTGGGTGGTACTTCTGTAACTGCGGCAACTGCAGAGTCAAGGTCAGTCTAAAGCAGAGCGACTTTATCCTCAGAGTGGACAGCCAGTTGGTCACAACCGCTCCTTGGATTTTCCAGGGGCCCCTCCTCCAAAGTGGGAGTGAGCGATCTCTGGAACATACACTGGTTCAGCTAACAGAGGTTGCAACACAAACTGCAGAATGAGCAACCTTCACAGTCCGCACTGCCACAAGTTAGACAGGATTGTGTGCACAAGCCAGTGTTCGGCAGGCTTTGAAGTTCTCGTGGCGTGATATGTTTATCTCGTAAGTTATCTGTTCTGTATTGCTTTTATAATTTATATTACGAAAAGCAATATAAAGCCCATGAAGCAAAACATTAAAATGATTTTCAGAAGCTACACAAAAAAAAGCCCATGTCGTTAGCAGCATCATTAAAAACGACTTAAGCCCTGAATTGGCTTTACTGCCTGTGCAATGCTGACTGCGTACTATTAGAAAGTTTCCGCCGTGTTTGAACAGGGCATTCAGTTTCAATCAGAACTGTCTATGCTGTTTTAAAGGCCCCTTTCCAGCTTTCCCGTCACCTGGTAATAACTGTATCTGGTGCTCTGATTTAAGGATGTTGGTAGCACAGCGTTCAGTTCAGTTCAGTGACTTCAACCACCTTGGAGAAATGCTTAGGCTGTTTTACAGTTGACTGGTAATTATTCATCTGGGAAATCATTTTAAAAGGGCCTAGAATAGAGTCCTGGAGGGGAATAAAAGTGCTGACTAATTTGATCTAAATGCAGGAGTGCTGATCCCGTGTGCACACATGTGCACATTTCGTCAGCTTTTTCTCCACTGCACCATGGCGCACTACTGGTACCTATTAGTTTTTGGTAGTATTATTGGTTTGCTTTCCATCCTTCCCTTCCTCCCAAAGGAGCCCAGGACAGCAAACAACAAAGCTGCTAAATTAAACAATTAGAAACAAAATGGAAAAAATGGAAAACAAACATTAAGGGCATCTAAAATCATTTAGAAACAGCCACGTATCTAACAGCCCCATGGCTAATAATTTCAAGGTTGCTGGAAACTGTATCTTTCAGCTATCAAATGCCTATGTGAACAGGAATGTGTTCCAATGCCTCCTGAATGTTAATGAATGAGAGAGGGAGACATACCTCACCAGAGAGGGCATTCCACAAATGGGGAGCCACCACCTCAAAGGCCCTGTGGTGGGTCAGTGCCAACCAGGCAGCACCAACAGAGCCTCTCTTGTTGAAAGTAGGGCCTAAGTTTGCTGATACTCGAAGAGGTGCCCCTTAAGGTACTTGGGTCCCAAGCTGTTTGCCAATACTTGACCTAATGTCATCAGTTCCTCAATTTCTTAGATATTAGAGGTTCCTTTTTGACATGTCTTAAGATTTTAAATAAATTCATAGAATCAGAAAACATAAAATCAGGCATAGTGCATTTACTAAGAAAAATATGTTTCTATTATTCTCCCCCCAAAAAAGCCATCAGTATGTAAAAAACCAGGCTTTAAGAGAAAAAGTTCAAGTGAGAGGTGTTTCTGGCAGCCTCTAATCCATTAGTATCTTACTAATAGCCGCTAGAAACCTGTTATTTGTGAGCTGAATCAAAATCCAGTAAAAAACTCTTACTTGGCATGCTTGTCTGCTAAAAGTCTGAGTCCGTGTCAGTGTAATAGCGTCCAAGTTCAACTGACCGACCAACCAAAGTTACTCACAGGAATTGAATTGTTTTGCTTGTGTTTCTTTCAACAGGATAATTGAAGCAGTCTGCATAGGCTGGTTCACTGCAGAGTGCATTGTGAGGTTCATCGTCTCCAAAAACAAGTGTGAGTTTGTCAAGAGACCCCTGAACATCATCGACTTGCTGGCAATAACTCCCTACTACATCTCTGTGCTGATGACCGTTTTTACAGGGGAGAATTCTCAGCTCCAGAGGGCTGGAGTCACCTTGAGGGTCCTGAGAATGATGAGGATTTTTTGGGTGATTAAGCTCGCCCGCCACTTCATTGGCCTTCAGACACTTGGCCTGACCCTCAAGCGATGCTATAGGGAGATGGTGATGCTGCTTGTCTTCGTCTGCGTTGCTATGGCGATTTTCAGCGCACTCGCCCAGCTCCTTGAACACGGGCTGAAATTAGGGAAGCCCAACGAAGGCTATGCCAGCATCCCGGCTGCTTGTTGGTGGGTGATCATCTCTATGACCACGGTTGGTTATGGCGACGTATGCCCTGTCACCGTACCCGGAAGGATTCTTGGAGGGATTTGTGTGGTCAGCGGGATTGTGTTGCTGGCCCTGCCTATCACTTTCATCTACCACAGCTTTGTGCAGTGTTACCATGAGCTCAAGTTCCGGTCTGCTAGGTACAGCAGGAGCCTCTCTGCCGAATTCCTAAATTAATGGATAGCACAACTGCATTTCGTAGCAGCACTGATTATGTTGAAGGAATCGACCGGACCCTCCTTGTTTCTTCCCTGTTCCTGGTGACTGACAGGAGGGGCAATGCCCTATGCCCTTAAAGGAATGCTTTCCCTCTCTCCACCTGCAGGGTGACCACTTTCTCAATGCAGGGATGAAAGCAAAGCACTCATTTCCTTCGTCTCATCGCACACGAGTGTCTCCAGCTTGTTGGACATTGCAGGCGGTATGCACTATTTAGAGTGAAGCACATGCATTTAAAATATGTCTTTGATTTTGATGTTCTCATTCATTTCAAGGTCTGTTTTCAGGAGCACACACAGTCCAGAGACTCAAGTGATCAAGCTCGGTGCACCCAGAGTGGGTGGGTGGTATTTCTTTATTTTTTAAAAAACAACAGCCTTTTGCATCATATGGCTAGCCGCTGTTGAACTTGGCTGTGGGTGCTGCAAAAGCCATTTGTGATTCGGTTTGGGGTGAGAAGGTTCTTCTTTGCAGGGGGAGAAGGTTAGCAGTCTTAGCAGTCTCCTGAACAATGCACTGGGCATCTCAGTGAAGCTTTCCATGTTGTGCTGTAAGTTGTGATGACTGGGATCCTGCCATCATCTCCCTTTATTGGAGGTTTTTCCAGCAGCCTCTTTGACCAGAGACAATAGTGGATAAAGAAATGGAGAATGTCAATCTGGTGCCTTCCAAATTCTGTCAGTCTCTCAATTCCCAGCAATTCTTGCTAGCTTGGGCAATAATGAAGGATGGTGGGAATTGTAATGCAACGACATCTGGAAGGCAATTGGTTGAAGAAGGCTGATATGAGAAATTATTTCTCTGCCCTACTGCTTCCTGCTCTGGGAGCCAGTGTGGTGTAGTGGTTAAGAGCGGTACTCTTGTAATCTGGTGAACCGAGTTCGCTTCCCTGCTCCTCCACATGCAGCTGCTGGGTGACCTTGGGCTAGTCAAACTTCTCTGAAGTCTCTCAGCCTCACCTCACAGTGTGTGTGTTGTGGGGGAGGAAGGGAAAGGAGAATGTTAGCCGCTTTGAGACTCCTTAGGGTAGTGATAAAGTGGGATATCAAATCCAAACTCTTCTTCTCCCCTGGAAAGGTGTTTGTTTTGACTTGGTTAACCAGTTGTAAAACTTAAGTGATAATCTCCTCTTAACATTGGCTCTGCTTAGAACAGTGGTTACCGGCAGTGTTAAGAAGAACCTTTGGGTTCCCTTAAGAGCTTATCATTCCCCAGTGATGAGCTCCGTAATGGTAAGATAAGCCAGGACATTACTAATAGTCTCCCCCTGCAATGCATACAGATGTTATTTTGGTGCGTTTTGAGGTTTCAACTGAGTTGATGGCAAAACTCAGCAGGCCTAGTCAGTCCCAGATGTGAGAAAGCACCTTAGAAGGGTCAGTGAACACACGTTTGTCTCTCACACAGGGCTTCCTCTGCAGATGAGTCAACGTAGAAAGGGTTTGCATAATATGAAAAGTTTGGAAACCATTGTGTTCCAAATGCTTGAATCATCACCTAAAATAATCATCAATTTGCATGGTAAGAAAAGGGAATCCTATACAGAAAGATCATTTATTTGGAGCCCTATTATTCCTTGAACATTGAAGGTCTGTTGTCTGTTGTACACCACCTCCTTGCCTCACACACACCCCATACAGTTGAGGAAATAATCCGATATCCACTAAAGCCGAGCAAATCTGTATTAGCGAAAGTGGAGTCGGCAAAATTACCAGATTCCAGATTTACAAACTGAGATGAGAATCTGGCCTTTTTTCTCCCTGTTGTGCCACATGTTTTCTGGTGAAGCAAGATTTTCTGGCATTCCAGTCCTAAATAACTCTGCTCAGAAACAAAGCACTTCATTGCAAGTAAGTGTCTTTAGGTTCAGCGACAAATGTGATTAACGGGAGAGTGCTGCTATTGGACTTTATAAAAATTCAGTTGCTGACAATGTGATAGATGTATTTAGAGGGGACTCGTCTGTGAGCTATTGCTGAGCCTGAGTTATGTTGCCAACTCTGTTCCATCAGTATGAAAGCCTTTGTTTGAAAGCCTTCAATTTGTTGTTCTTCCCCTCCCTCCTCTTTTTATTAATGATTGCAGTACAATAGCCAGAGTGGTGGAGGAGATAAAGAGAGAGGGCAAAGTAGTAAAAGTCCCTGCCTAGCCCTGAAAGTAAGTTGGTGGCTCTGGGACCGTTTCTGTCTCTCAGCCTAGACTTGCTTCCAGGTAAGTCATTCATAGGTTGACGGGAGAATAAAATAATGCCATATGTAGAGATAGATAGGAAGGCCTGGGGAAAAAACTGGAAAAATGGGGGGGGCAGGTTCCCCCCTGTTTTCCCCCAATGCCATTTTTCCCCAGAAAAAATGAAACAAAGTGTGTGGTATATCAAACTCTCTTTTTTCAATTTTCTGGGGGAAAATGGCTTTTTAAAAAACCCTGGAAAAAACCCTGGTTTCCCCCCAATTTTTCTGTTTTCCCCTGGCCTTCCCATTTCTAGCCATTTGTGAGTTCCTTGGAAGAAGTATAGAAAACAAATGTGGCAATAAAGTAAGACACACAGATCTCCCAGGAAAATAATTGGAAGTTTCATACCCGAGATAAGGACTACTTCTCCACACTATAATGGCAGGGAAATAGGGCAAAGGGAAATCAGATATGCAACACACTGAGTTCTGGCCCAGGAACTTCTGACCTACGAGCTTCCAAATGTGGTTGGACTTCAGTTCCCATCATCCCCAACCATTGTCCATGCTGGCGGGGGCTGATGGGAGCTGGAGTCCAAGAACACCTGGGAGGCTTACAGGTTCCCCATCCCTAGTCCATGGTCTAGTCCAGTCTCTGGAAAAACCTCCTCAGACCACCCCCACCAGTTTGTAATCCTTTGTCCAAAACTGTCCATGCCTCCTTTGTTTTCTTTGCCAACCATGGCTAATAAAACGATTTTCTTTTAAAGGAGGGATTCTTTGGATCATGTTGAACCATGGCATCAGCTGTGCCTCATTGGCAGGTTTGCAGACTTCATTTATATATAAATATATTGCAATCAAATGGGGATTTTGTTATCCCCGTCTTTGATAGTGATCCTTACAGAAGGAAGCCATTCAAACCTGATATACTTCAATATGGTTTATTGATTGAAAGGTCAAAAATAAAACGCAGCTCCGCTGATACGGAAAAAAGCTTTCGAGCTAAATATAAGTTGTGCTATGTAAAAAGCAGTATGTACTCTCTTGTAAATGTAGAACCAAAATAAAGGAATTCTTGTTCTTTTGTAGTGCTGCTTAATGGCGCTATTAATACGACTTAGGAAAGCTGCCATAATAGACCTACGCTGTTTGAACATTAAATATAGGCACAGTCAAGCCAGGACTGTTTGCTGAGAAACATCAACATGGAACTTCTTTGTTTCGTTCAGAGTCTCAGAATCTGTCTTTTATCTGAATTGGTGTGTTCACCTAAAAACAACACCATTGTGAAATGCTTATTGTGAGTGTTTTTTGGAACATCTCTTGCTGTTGCCATGTGTTCCCATTTAACAGCGTTAGGAATTTGACAGAAAACCAGTTTCAAATTATTGTTTAATTTTCGATCTTGAACCGGCTTCCCATCACTTCATGCACAGTTTTTATGTGGTCAGCCAAAAGTGCCAGCCTCAGCATAGCAGCATACTCCATGCTATTAACTCCAGGAGAAGGCGTGTGTGTGTGTGTGTATGTGTAAGCAAGCTGGTAGTTGCTTTCCTCCTCATGGAGAATCAAGGTGGCATGTGATCTGAGGTTCCAACCAGTCAGAGAGAACCTAGGAAGGTTTAAATGTATGCCAGGTACTGGTTGAGCCCAGAAAGGCAGATAAGATCATACTAATTTTTGAGTGTGAGCAGTTTGCAAGCACCAAAGGAAACTGATCTAAGGGAAGGACCATAACTCAGTGAGAGGGCATTGGTTTTGCATGCAGACGGTACCAGGTTTAATTCATGGCATCTGCAGGTAGGGTGGAAAACCCTGGAAAGCCTTTGCCAGTCACTGTAGAGCAGAGTTTCCCAAACTTGGGTCTCCTTCTGTTTTTGGACTACAACTCCCATCCCTAGTTGGCAGGACCAGTGGTCAGGGATAATGGGAGTTGTAGTCCAAAAACAGCTGGAGACCCAAGTTTGGGAAACCTTGCTGTAGAGAATGCTGAGATGGATGGATGAATGACTCAGTATAAAGCAGCTTCCTCTGTTCCTATGCTCTCAGGGCAGGGGTCCTCTTGCCTGCCTAGTAGCTGCTAGAGTAGTCATGTGCTTGTATCCCCCGCCAACAAATTCATCTAAATTGCCGCCATTTTTAAAAAGGAAGAGCACATGCCAACTCATGACGCTGACAGGAATATCTCCAGCCGTTTGGAAAGACAAGCTATCATCACTATTTTGGGGCCCTGTGAACCTCAAGAGTCACAAGGTCAGTGCCCAGTGGATGGAAAGAGTCCTAATGACCACAGATGGTGCTTTGCCTTAGCAAGTCCAACCCAAAATTGTTGGTCACCTGATAATGAGAGCCTTCTTGACGTGACCTAGCCCCATGGACGTAGGCACAATGGGACATTTATAATACAGAAACATGCCATGTTAATGGATAAATTGGCCAAAGATGTGACCAGTAGTTTGATTCTAATGACTGCCCTCCTGCACTATATCGCATTTTTTACACTACATACATGTTTGGAGTCTTAGTTCCATGTGAAGTTTAGGGAATATTGTGCCTTGGGTCTACTAATTCATGCCATGTGTTTATAATGCAAATGGAATGCATAAAATAAATAGAACAAATAAAAAGTGCATTGTCAACAATTATAAATGCATACATAAAAATTGGATTGCATCTGATATAAGTTGTAATTGGAGCAGACCCACAAAAATTAATAGACATGGCTAACTTAAGGCCAGTAATTTCAGTGTATCTACTCCCACATTTTTTTTAATACAACTCATTCAGTATAGTATTGATTCTTGGCATTTGGGAGGGGATATCTGATGATAATTGTAGCATTACTGATGTATTTCACATCTAGTGCATCCAAGGAAAAATTGGGTGTTGCCTGATACACAATATGGCCTATATGTACTGATTTGCACTGGGACATCATTTGATGAGGGAAACTCCATAATGAATGAGCTTGATCAGCTTCAAAAGATGGGTCCTAAATGTATCTTATGGAACACGTTGCTCATAACCCATTGGAAATTTTTCTTGTATGAACCACCCCCCAAAGTAAATTGTGCAAGAACACACAACTGGCTGATCCAGTTCAGAAATAATAATGTAATTCTAACCATGCATGCTCGGAAGTAAGTCCTGGTAATAAATATTAATAATTATTTTATTATTTATACCCCGCCCACCTGGCTGGGTTTTCCCCAGCCACTCTGGGCGGCTCCCAGCAGAAGAGTAAAAACAGGATAAAACATCAAACATTCAGTGAATTCAGTGGGACCTACATCCAGGTAGCTGATGTTAGAATTCCAGCCTAGATCAATCTGGGAAGAATTCAGCATTTGACAATCATTCCGTCAGCTTGCCAGATGGCAGCAATCCCTCTCTTCTCCACCCTGAGGGTTCTCCCGCCCTACTCCCCAGCCAATTTTGGGTGGTGAGGCAGGAGAAGGGGAAGCTGTATTGCAATAACAGAAGTCCTTGTGCAGGCTTACAGATTGATCATGCAAAATCCTTCATTGCAGGGGAATGGACTGGATGACCAATTCTACAATTCTATGATTCTGTTATTCTGAAATAGGAATACTATACCTTAAGAGCAGGTTGACAAAGTCTGGTAATAATGACATGATTTTCTTGTCCTCCGAAAAGGGTCGAAGGAGCAGATTTCCCTCCCCATCATTGCAAGGGGGCTTGAGCCAGAGAAAGCCTGTCT